TCTCTTTCTTCTTGGGTTTTTTGTTTTTTGTATTGCGAGGGTTAGGCGGGTTTGGCGCGTTTGGCGATAAGTGTGATGAGAGCTGGGTAAGTCGATTTGTAGCCTGGTTTGCAGAGTTTGCGGGATCTGCTTCCTTGGGACTATCCTTGGAGGGATCATCGACTTTTGCCATGATTGTTTCTCCCTTTTGAATGAACTATTTTCTAGGGACTCAATTAATTTCTCCTTCTAAAGGGTGCTGCAGCTTATATGTCAAGTGTACAGCTTGTAATTAACATCCGAGAATGTCAACTGTGAAGTTTCCAGTGAGATGACTTGATACAAACACCCTTTCCTCCTTTCCTTTGACGCCCCAAAGTATTCCTCCGTGGTATCGTGCGATAACTAGCCGAAAGGTTTTGTCTTTGGATTGCCGAAGCAGCTTGCAACGAAAATGGAACAGGGCCACCTCTACTTCTTTCACCCAAAATCGCTGTACGCTGAGAATAACCCGAAATGATCCAATAGCAAGAACAATCCCTCGGGCTTTGCAAGACGAGAAGTAAAAGAAGACAAGTACACTGTCGGTTATTATTATGCGATAACCTGTCAGAGGCAACGCTTTTGTTTCGCGCTGAACCTCGGCCTAAGTTCTTGGACTTTTCGGCAATGCATCCCCGCAAAATCACTCCCCATGTACCACCAAACGAATGCAGGATCACTGTGGATGTGTTGTAAAACCAGCTGTTTCGATACAGGGGATTTTTATTCACGGTCTTTCTTGCGTGGAATTGATTTTTTATATTTTTTTGTTGTGATGTAGGTGCAAAATTGAATCATTCATTTTATACCCCGAAGAGAAAACGAGAAGCTATTCTACAGATGTAAAAAGCCTTAACAAAATACTACATACATTCCTGTTGTTGAACATTAATGATCTCCTACGTTTACATCGATCTGAAATTTACTGGACGAGACATCTTCAAAAAAAGGCAACTATGCCTCCACCAGCACGACCTATATCGCGGCTATTGGTTGCAAATAGGTACGAGAGAGCCAGGAAATGAATGGGTTACACCATGGACGGCAAAGTGAAATAGAAAACTAACTTAAGACTTTTCTCACGACACATCCAGAGGAGAAATTGCAGTTCGAATTTTGCAGGCAGCCCGTGAATTGCCCAACATCGAAACTTTTGCACTCTATACAGAAGACGACCGGTCACATTGTGACTTGGGATCGCCTCACCATGCCTTGACCTTACCGTCTCCGTCATCCTATATGGATATCCCCTTATTGGTACAGCTAGCACGAGAACATACCATTGACACGGTGCATCCTGGGTATGGTTTCCTAAGCGAAAGCGCAGAATTTGCGCAGCGCATGTGGGAAGAGGCTAGGGCCAAAGTCATTGGTCCCGGTTGGGAGGTCTTAGCGCAGACTGGAGATAAGCTTCGAGCCAAGGAGCTGGCTGAGGCTTGTGGTGTGCCGATTCTGAAGGCAATGAAAACTCCAACAAACGATATTGACTTGATAGGCCGATTTGCTGCTGAGGTTGGGTATCCTGTCATGGTAAAGGCTGTAGATGGTGGAGGTGGACGTGGAATTCGATTTGTGAAGGGCGCTGACGAGCTGCAGTCTGCAGTTGATCGGGCTACTGGAGAGTCTCCGTCTAAGAAGGTGTTCGTGGAAAAGGCTGCGGTGGGAAGTTTCCATCATGTTGAAGTTCAGGTTATTGGGGATGGAACAGGCGAGGTTAGGCATCTCTGGGAGAGAGATTGTAGTGTGCAAAGGAGGTTTCAGAAGATAGTGGAGTGTACGCCAGCGATGATGAAAGACAGAAAGTTAGTTAGCAAGGTCATTGAGTCGGCACTGAAAATGGCGAAAAAGGTAAGCGGTTATCAAATATGGGTGGTTCATGATGAAAAGGGTTAATCAGAAAACAGATTAAGTATTTGTCATTGGGAACTTTCGAGTTTTTGGTGAGCGAGACATTATCAGAGTTCTTCTTTTTGGAGGTAAATCCCCGCCTCCAAGTCGAACATACAATCACAGAATGCATATCGTCAGTGGATCTTGTGCAAACACAGCTTTTGCTAGCTCAAGGAGTACCTTTACAACAAATTGGACTGGGCGATATCCACAACCCAGAGCAACCACCAAATGCATATTCAATCCAGCTGAGGTTATGTGCTGAGGATCCGAGTGCAAACTTTGCCCTGAGCATTGGAAATATTACTGAATTTCATGTGCCAGGAGGCAATGGCATCAGAGTGGACACTAATATCTCTGGCTTATCCTCTGTCGTAATCGGCTCAGATTTTGATAACATGATGGCGAAGATAATAATCACTTCCACCAGTTGGGCTGGTGTAATTCTAAAGGCGCGCAGAGTACTTGATGACACAAGGGTATCAGGGGTTAGGACTAACATTGATGTCTTGAAGGGCATTATCGCGAACTCCGAATTCCAACAGTGGCAAATTGATACCCAATGGTTTGAAGCAAACCTGGAGACTATCATCCAGAACGGAAAACAACTTCCGGCACCTCAGTCGAGTCGCTCAGCGTTGCGTGCCTCTCCCGCCTCTCAACCACTATCGCTTGGGTCATCTAATGCCCTCCGAAAGGGAGATGCTTGGTCTGTAAAGCTGGAACCATTGAACTTGAGCGGTGTAGCCAATGTGGGACCGCCTCACCATCTTGTGCTGAGTAAACTCCTTCGCAACGAATTCCCGACATCCCTGAGTGCGGAAATCGAGTATACAACTCCGGCAACAGCGACGCAGCCCGCAACAACTACTCCATATCGAGTGACGTTGTCAAGCACATTGGCCTCGTCAAGTTCAATGTCGTCCACCCACAGACGGGGAGATCCGAACAATGCCTCCCACATAACAATCCCTATGAGTGGCAAATTGATTGAGATGCTTGTGGAAGAAGGGGACGAGATCCAGGAGAACACTGTGATCGCATTCATCAAGCAAATGAAAATGGAACTTGAGATTCGAAGCCCAAGGGCAGGGAGAGTTACTTGGGCCCTGGAGCTGGAAAATGAGGAGGGAGAAGATGTGCCTGAAGGAATTTTGCTGGCTGAGGTAGAGGCAATAGAAGGCCCTGCAGTTGAGATCAAGGGGAAGCTATAGCTGTATATAGATCGTTAATTTACGCTTAGACTCTTAAAAGAGTAACAGCATTATTAGCTCGTCTTCTGCAGCGTTCAAATTCAAGTTGCCCGTTTTTGATTTCCAACGAGCCACCACAGTAACACAGTAACGCCTCGAAAACCAGTCTTTGATTCCCTTCCATGCTATCAAAGAGGAAGAAATGGTCGCTGCTTGTCTCGTAGAGAATTACCCGACTGCCTAGCTGGTATAAGGGGATATCGGTCACGTGGACACTGGTCAATCAATACTTTTGACCCCTTGCGAGAACATATGGAGTTTATGTATATCGCAGTCGTTCTTCAGCCGTCGGAGAATATCCACTGAGAGCAATAGCAATGCAAATATGAGAACGCGCGAACCAACTAGTTACGCTCGGAGTTCCTATTCATATGCGGGCAAAAGTGCAGTTTTACTGGCCAGTTTTGTCATTCCGACTGACAACTCACAGCTGCAGTAACGTAGCTCCCGCCTTGTTGACCTATGGCAAGCAGGATCAAACAGGAGCTCCATGATGGATGACTAGCCCCGGACTGCAAGAAACCACGATATTAATTGGGCCAGTTGATGGAAATCGAGTTTCTCCGTTCGCATTAGATGTCTTCTATTTCGAGAGGTTTGAGATGTGGTTCTAACTTGTAAGGAAATGTCACATCCTTCGAGAAATCGCGAGAGCCCAATGTTTCACACCACGCCGGCCTTTCGGGCACATTAAATGCCTCTAGCGCGTGACTTATCTGGCGGGGTAGTTGTGCATTCGTCATATCGTCTGGTTGGTCTTGAATGAGAGGCCACCCCGAAGGCATATGACGCCAGTGGAACCAATACATTTATTTGAATCTTGTCAGAGCCGCAGTCAGCAAAGTCAAATAATTCGGTCTTTCTGGACAAGCTTACCATTTTCAAGAGATATAGTTGATTAGAAACCGGGCTTGCATCATCTCATTTCTGATACTGAAATCGTTCAAGTGGACATACATCTCCCGACTTCCGAAATTTCAAATCTCGACCCCACAACTCAATTGGGGATCAAGACTCTTATGCTCCTTTTTGGGGTAAGAAAACAAAGCCAAACAGCCATGTCATCTACTACCAACACTTCTCTTTCCATTGCCACCACTACGACCGCCCCTACCACCCACACTCAAGAAACCGCGGAGGCCAAAATCGCATTTACCGCTTCCTTAACCTCCGTCGGAACGAATTTGGATGCCGACCTGCGTCAGCGCGCCCAAGCACTTCACAATAATGATGGTGTCATCAAAAAGCAGGAGGAGAAACTGAGGAAGACAATTCAGGACCTCGAGAAGCAGTCTAGGGAGCTAGAGAAGTTGGCTGATCAGGGTAGAGAGGGGTTGAAGGAAGTTGGAGATTTGCAGAATTGGGCGGAATTGATTGAGCAGGATATACTTATTGTGGAGGAATCGCTGTGTTTGGCGGACGAGGAGGATGAGAAAAATGGCAGGATGAATTGGAAACCGGAGAGTAAGTTGAGGAGATGGTTTTGAGTGATTGGTTTGGAGGTTCATGGAATGAAGTATGGAACGTGGTTTTCTATATGCTTTCATCATATCATTTATGGTTTGGTTTTCTTTGGGGAGGGTTGGGCTCTTTGAACACTTGGTTGCAAACTTTGGGGTTTTCATGTTAGGATCTGTGTTATTTTTCTTTCTGCTGAAACCATCAGGTGCTGTGATCCTTTCTATACGATGATTTCCCATCATGTGTAATATAATATTTTAATTTTTTTTTTTTTTACAAAGGATAAGTTTCCCAAAAAGTAAAAGAAAGAAAGAAAAAGAAATCTATCCAGTGCAGCATACACCAAAATGAAAAGAAAATAGTAAACCCCTCTGATTAGCCCTCTTCCAGATCGCTAAGGAACCGTTTCCAAACATCTAATCCGGCGATTGTGCATCTACCACTATCGCCTGATGACAGATGCGCAGCAGCTGCTTCCCACTCATCCCACTCATTCCACTCCCCCAAACTCATCAGATGTCTCATCGTCGGGCGTCCATGAGGGCAATTCCACGGCTTATCAATCATCCCCATGTGTCTAACAACCTTGCCCATTTGTTTCGCAGTAAGGGATTTGCCAATCATAATACTGGATCGACATGCTCTCATTGCAAACATTTTGCGAACTTTGCTTGGTCGAGGAACATATTTGCTGGTGAGTGGAGAAGATGATAAAGTAGAAAAAGACGAAGGAGACCGTGCAGATTGCGCTTGTGGTGATTCACCAAGTAACACGATTAATTCTTCCAGATCACGTATGTTAAAGACCACTTCCTTGCTGAGCGGTAGGCTGGTGAGTTTACACCGGCGTCCAATGGGCTCGTCTCCGCTTCTGTCGACTTCGACGATGAAGCCGTTCTTTTCCAAGGCTGGGAGGTTGTCGATTATGATTTCCTCTTCGACAGCGGTTAGATCGAGGGTTTTGGGTTTGACAAGACGTTGATTTTGTACTACAGTTTCGGCCTGGAGGCGCTCGAAGTTATATTTTTCGTCAGAGGCGTGTTGGTCGATTATGAACAGCTCGTCGTCCTTATGATCTATGGTGGCTGTTGAGTCATTTGGATCTCCCCGAAACCGAGTTGCAATAATGAAGCCTAGATTGAATTGACCGATTATGCGCATTTTAGCAAAGTCTTCCTTTGAGACAGACAGGGATAGCCGTGTTTCCGGAGACTCGGGATCACCTGTTCCCTCTGCAGTTTCTTCACCCTTGGCAGTGTTGCTTTGCTTGATACTCTGCAGCCCCTTTTGCAAAGACCTGATATAAGCCGCGATCGTGGCCAATGAACCATCGACAGTCCCCATCAGGTCAACTGTAGAAGTTTTACCAATAGAACGTTTCGATATCTTGTTGACTCTACGGTTAACGTCTTCCGAGGGAAGAGCAGCTTTGTCTTCCGTTGCTTGTATCAACTCTGCAACCCTTGCTTCTGCCCTGGCCTTTTTCTCATCCTCGTCAACATAACTCGCGTCCGAGTCGGAGACTTCAGCCTCAGCACCTGGTTCAACATCTTCCGCTCCAATTTCATCTCCCATTTCTTCTGCAGACTCGCCCTTCGTTTCATGCTCAGAATTGGTTTCGTTCATCTCCTCCTCATCATGGATCTTAGACTTGTATTCGGCTTCCGAACCAGTCTTTACCACATCTTGTTCATTCTCGCTGCTGAAAACTTCCTGGCTACCATCCACGTTGCTGCCTGGTGCCACAAACGACCACAAACCGTTTTCCAGGTTGCGCTTGCTAGCTGAAACGTGTATTCGACGTTTAGGTTGAGGCGTTGAACCTCCGAAACCTGCCATCCCAAGTTTTCGCTTAGGCTGTTGCTCCCTGCCTATCGTTGACATCACAGTTCTGTTTCCAATTGTGATAGTTGCAACTTCAGCGGGCGGTCTTCTAGGACGCATTCTATCGAAAGCATTTTTAATTACACTGGGTGTGTGCTGCGCGGGACAATTTCGCACCGTCTGAACAGGTTCCTCTCTTAAAAGAGCAGATGCAAGTGTAAAGCCCAGGTTAATTTGCTCCTCTGCCTGTTCATCTGAAGGTGCTGTAGCAGGGGTGCTTAATGTTGGTCTGGAGCCCTTATTTTCACGTGTTGGATATTGGGATAGCGTTATCTCGGTAGCTTCTTGAGTTGCTAAGTCTACTCGTCGAGTATCTTCATTAGTCACTGAATGGCCTTCCGTTAACTGACGCGATTCCATCCTATCCTCATTTTGCTGAGTCTCAGGAATCTCAGGCAAGGTTTTCGAACGTTCAGTGAAACGTTGAACGAAGGTCCTCATAGCTGTTTGTTCCCCCTCCTCATCTCTCTCCTCATCTTCCCCCTCCGCCTGCTCATAGGATTGCTTGGCCCTATTTGATTCTGCAGGTTTTGTGGAAGCAAGGACAGAAGCAGTATCTTTCCCAGAAGGACGGTGCAACGTGGATTGCTTCCCGGGAATTAGAGACTGGGGCACCGTCTGGTCTTGGCGCTCGAACAATTCAGTCAAAGTAGTTTTCAAAGACTCTATTAGAGTACCCGCATCATGTAATAAAATGGTACGTTTATCCGGTGACACATTAACGTCGTAAGAGTTCGTATCCATTTTAAAATCTGCAAAGATGAAAGGTGACTGCGAGATGTTAAAGGATTTATAGACCTCATTAAATGCCTTTGCGATCTGAGGCAAACCACAGGGGCGAGAATTGACGAAAAACATCTGGCGGTCTGGGGTTTGCCTGCCTTCCCCGAAGATCGGTTTCGAGATATGTCCTTGGATAAATATTTTGTTGGCCTCCTGGATACCACCCCGGATCGACTTCCCGTTCGTGGCACTTGGCTGAAACTCCAGCTCCAGATCCAGGGGGGTCAACGCGAGAAGAGTCTTCGCTCCATATATGTTTGAAATATTCTCCTTCGTGGTAGCATTGGATTTAGTAGCAAATACCAAAACATTTTTCCCCTTTAACATTTGATTTTTGACATTAAACCGGACCCCTGTGCTGACACATGCATAGGCGTGCAGCAAGCCAAGAACCTTGCCGTATTCTCTTTTGATGTTTTTCTCCAACTCCCGCCGACGCACTGGAAGCCTGTTAAAAAGGTTCTCAACAGATGCTGTCGTTCCTCTTTGACCTGCAACTACCTGTGTATCCTTAAGCTTCCCAGAGATTTCAAATTCCAGCTTTGAAGCTTTGGGAGCTTGATGCGCCTGGGCGGTAACGATGTGGAAGTTCGACAGGGCACAGAGAGAGGATAGGGCTTCGCCACGGAAACCGAAGCTTTGGAGGGAGGATAAATCGTCTAACTTGGACAATTTGGAGGTATAGTGCTTCAAAGCTACCATGTCGGTTAGTATAAGAACTTAGGTAGAGGAGATCTCCAACGTGTGAGTCTTCGTACCAACTGTCTCATAATCATCGGGTGATATTCCTTTTCCATTATCTTGCACTTCAATCAAGTCTAGCCCGTTGTTCTTAAACCGGATATCTATGTAACAGCACAAACAGTCAGAGAATTCGTTTGTAGTAGCCTTGAATATAAAACGCATCAAAGTACCTATAGATGTTGCACCAGCATCTAGACTGTTCTCCACCAGTTCTTTAACCACGGAGCATAGGTCAACGATAACCTGGCCGGATTGGATTTGGTGAACCTATTATCAGTTAGCCTCCGTGCATTAGTATTCGAGTTTCAAAAGAAGGATTTATACCGAGCGGGCCTCAATGGCCTTGATGGTAGCCATGTTCATCCCATGGGGTTGGTTAGGAGAAATTCTTTTGTTGCCGACGCGATTAGGCACGTGGAGTTCGAAAGCGAATAACTACGAACAAACTGCCGGCTGACGTCATCGGCCATTTTTAACTAACTAGTTATTTTCATGGTGGTTACTACAAATTAACAAGCGACAGGTACATTCACCGTACGAATGTCCTAAATGGGCCTAAGGCAATCCCTTTTAGATAATATGGAATTTACCGGAAACCCGTAAAGAGCAGTGTATGTACTATTTCATGAGTGCAAACTATATATACTAATGCCTTCTATTCCAAATTCGATAATACAGGCGTCAATGCGATGAACAACAAAGGTATATGAGTACTGAGTCACCAAAGGAGGATTTAACACTGCTTATGAAATGTCAAAACGATCAGGTAACAAAACTGGAGCAATCAGAGTCCACAAGTAAATCGCATAGCACACCATAGCACTGATTATTTTCACCCAACTAGCCCAATATGTCCTGCCAACGGGGGCAAGATTATCCTTCGCTTCGGGGTCCAGATTTTGCGTGAGCAAGGTTGCAACCCACGCGGTTGCCAGGAAAAAGATAACATGAAACAGAGAATAGTTATACTGGGTTGAGTGACGCTCGTCGTCCTTGCTGCCCCGGTCGTCATCTGACTCATTATCGCTTTCATCGAGGGCGCTTGCCGGTAAGCTACCACTCTCAACAGCAGCGCGGAGAGCCTCAGCACGCATTTCCCTGCGACTGAGTCCAGGCTGTTGGGTTACAAGTCCATGTTCCATCTCATCTTGGCCGAGGCGGGAGTAGTTATGGGCTCCTTTCGACCCCAGAGCGATACCTTGAGTGGCGGCACGAGTGGTGGTATAGGCGATGGTCAACATAGTAACTATAGCGCCAATCACGATAGTGGCCGATCGGGTGCCACGAGCGCGAATGAAGGGATTGCACTGACGATCGTCCGGCTCCATTGACACGGCGGACATTATCAAATACGTGCAGTATGCTGTGACCATGGCAGCCTGCGCCAATCCGGCTCGAGGATTTGATGCCTGAACTGCAGGTTGAACCGAGACCACGGAAATAATCAGGAAGACGATGAGGTTAATCTAAAATCCGAATTAGTATATCCTGCTTGATTTGGTGAAAATAATATAGTAAAAAACTCACGGTGATCGCAGCTTGGTTCATGGTGCACCCGGAGTGGGAGAAAAAGATGTACATGATGACAGTCATTGCGATGGACGCAATATACATTCCCAGTGTTGAACCAATCAGCAAGACCCGCCACATCCGCGAATCTAGCTCCTCAATCTTTTGCAAGCAGACCTCAGCCCACGTATGGGCTAGATCGACCAGAAGGACAAGGCCTAGAAGCAGGAAGAGAATTGCTCCAATGAAAGAAATGTAGCTGCCCCAGACGAAAAAGAATCCCTCGGGGATCAGAAACGACAACACTATCAAAGCCAGCCATGCGATAACCTTCGGACCCCAGAAGCCATTTTGAAGAGACGCTCTACTGCCTTTGGAAGAATGGACTCCAAGCAGGAGGATTGCCATAACGATATGAAACAGCCCAAGCGCAAAATTAATTCGATGAACAGCAACCCATCCATAACATTTTTCTCCTTCGCAGCTGATCGGCAAAAAGTCGAAAGTGAGGTGCTCCAATTTGCTTAGAGCCCATCGCGTCAACATTATCCAGGACAGTATCGAATTAATTAAAAGCATGAAAGCGTAGGCGATTCTCGTGGCCATACTATTCCGGAAGTCAGCGGTAAACTTAGACCAAAACAGATTCAGAAGCGTACCTGCTCTGAAACTTCCCGCAGGCACCACATATCGCTGAACATGTCGCTGCCCCACAACACGACGCGCAGAATGTTAATAACTAAATTGTAGAGGTGGTTAGCGGCTGATATAGGCACCAAGGAATCGTAGGAACTCACAGTGCCAACGCTGGGCACTGCCATTAAAGGCAGCGACAAAAGCGCGCCCATCTCGACGTCACAAACCGATAATAAGAGACAATACCAAGCAGTGTATATGACTTGTGTCAGGATCAGAAACACAGGGAAGAGGACGTGGTGAATCTTCGAAGGAATGTCAGTAGTACTGGCTGGCAGTGGATTGGAATGGATGGGGATGATGATGTAAGAGTTGGGGGGGGCGCTGTTAGGGTAGTTAACTTAATGTCAGGTGACCCCTATGGAATTGTACTAAATCCAGGAACTCTAATGTTGGGCATTGGTTGCCCGGGTTAGCCCTACCTCACGTGATATACGCGTATATTAGTTGGCTGACCAGGCCTCCCACCAATGGAGAATTAACCATCCCAACATAGCTGGCTCCTACCACGTGACACACACCTTATAGTTGCAGATGATGGGTCACCTGACATCCCCAACACTAGCTAACCAGTTAGCTTAGCTCCTTCATCAACCACAACCCAACATCCAATATTAACTATTAATGTAACTAGTTAACTATTAATGATCTATTAAGTACTTTGTAAATAATGTGAATTACCATCTAAAACAAAAAATTATTAAACTCAGAAAGTGTAGAATCAAGTTTTAGGTGGAATAAGTTCATTGGGTGGTGAGTTACAATACGTAAGCGGAGGTGCAATCCATGGATTCCTTTTAACTAGTTATCGCCCGGCGATAGGCTGCTTTTCAGGTAAGCCAAAACCCCAAGGACCCGTCGACTTGCTCTCAAAATACTTTTACCAATCGTTCATATATTTCAGAATCCTGCTCTTTGTTGGTAGCAATATCACTGCGATAGACAAATCCTCCTAGCACACTTTTCTGAAAGTTCCCTCTCTCACTCTCGATGCTTGTCATTTACTCCCACCTCGGTTTCACAAGTTCCTACCCCCCTTACATCAGTTCTATAATCTCCAGGATTATTGTATTGGGACACCAGACGCAGCTCCACGTATGATCGTTCATAACTGTATATTCTTTCGTTAGCGCCGCAGTTGCGCAAGCTTATTTTTCATGATGTCCATGTCCTCCCTTCGTTTCCAGCGGTTGCTGTCCATAGTTGCTGCTACATTCATTGCCCTGGCGTGCGGAACCAATGTATGTTTATGCCTGCCTGTCTCATCCGTGTGAATAGCACCAGAATAGCTAACTTTGAGACAGTACGTGTATTCAGCATGGGCGCCTCAATTTGCCGAGAGGCTGAAACTATCATCAACAGAGAGCAATTTGATTGTACTTTTCTCCTGTGTCGCTGCACCATCGGGGTTAAATTTGCTAACCTCCTGTAGGGAACTGCGGGAAATTTGGGGATGTATCTAAGCGGAATTCCCGTGGGCCTTCTCATTGATTCGAAGGGACCGAGGCCTGGTGTTTTAATCGGGATGGTGTCACTTGGAGCGGGCTATTTTCTCATTCACCGAGGTACTCCATATTTATCCAGAGCATCTGCAAATGAAATTAACTGACTCGTTATTAGCATATGTTGCCGGCCAAGGCTCAATGGGAGTTCCATTAATGTGTTTCTTCATGTTTCTCTCCGGCCTGGGAAGTTCTGCTGGATTTTCCGGGGCCATCAAGACAGGTATGGCTTTAATCTTAAGCGAGCTTAAGCTGATTATAGTTCACCTAATCTAAAACATACATATATATAGCTACATCCAACTTCCCAGATCACCGTGGAACTGCAACCGCTTTTCCATTAGCTGCTTTTGGATTGAGTGCATTTTTCTTTTCAACGATTTCAGCAATCGCCTTTCCAGATAATCCAGGCCAATTTCTATTGCTCTTGTCGATTGGCACATCAACTATCTTGTTTGTGTGCTCCTTCTTTCTCCGGCTTATACTGTCTTCTCCGTACACTCTCGCCACCAGGGAGGCAAGTCTCCTTATCAGTTCGAGCCAACTCCATAGAACAAAATCCAGGGAGAGCCATCACAAGGGTTCCTCTGAATTAGGTAGGCTAAATGAAGCCTCTAATCCCACAACCACCCAAGGCACTGCAGCAGGATCTGCTGCGGGGCCATCAGAATCCGCAGACCCAAACCTAGAGCCGGATGAAACATTCTCTTTGATAGCTCGATCCCTTTCCCCAAGAAATTCCCATGATTCGTTCTGTGATGAAGGCACATCAGTCAAATCCGGTCATAGCTCACATAATACAGATATCCGTGGATGGGCAATGATTTCCACTCTGGAATTCTGGCAGCAGTTCATACTTCTAGGGCTTTTCACCGGAACTGGATTAATGACAATCAAGTTAGTATAAATCTTTTATTCTTAAAGGTACGACAATATAGGCTAATGCAAATGCAGTAATATTGGTAACAATGTAAGGATTTACTTTCTCCTCAAGCTTCAAAATCATTAACCGAACGATGTCTACAGGCAAATGCCCTATGGAACCATTACGACGATAGTGCAAGTCCCGAATTCATCCAATCACGACAGACGATGCATGTGTCTACCTTGTCAATCCTCAGTTTTGTTGGACGCCTCTCGAGCGGTATGTTCATCCGTACTACTGGTTCTCTTAACAGTCTAGGATAAAACTGAATAATTGTAAAATTTCCAAATCTAGGTATCGGATCAGATCTACTTGTTAAAAAACTACACATGTCGCGTTACTGGTGTCTGTTCGTATCAGCAGTTATTTTCTGCGCCGCACAACTCGCCGGATTCACGATATCAAATCCTCACTACCTGATCACCGTTTCAGGCTTGACCGGGCTTGCTTACGGCTTCCTGTTTGGCTTGTTCCCATCCCTGGTTTCCCACACCTTTGGTGTTGGAGGCATATCACAGAACTGGGGAGTGATGTGCCTTGCGCCTGTCGTATGTGGAAACGTTTTCAACATTTTGTACGGCAGAATATATGATTCTCACTCCATCGTGTTGCCGAATGGTGATCGCGATTGCAGGGAAGGACTGAAATGCTACAGAACCTCCTACATAATTACATTCTATGCTGGACTTGCAGGGGTCGTTATGACCCTCTGGACTATTTGGCATGAGAGGCGAACCATTGGTCGTTTGACGGGGAAGGAATTCCATGAACGAATTGCTTAAATGCTAAGGCTCCTTGGGTCAACATTTTCTGCCCTCAATCGTGAAATTTTCTGGGAATCGAATACCATTCTTTACCGGTATCCACCAAAGGTAACCGCACCTTTATATACGGCAAGCCATTCCTCATTTGTCTCCCGACATACTTCTGTCATCTAGAATTAAATTTGCCCTCGCAACGGGGCATGTTGGCATTTCTATCGCAGCCGACATTACCGTTTATTTATTTTAATCACCGTTGATTATACACCGCAGGCTCGGTCAGATCACTACTCCCGCCTGCCTCTGAACAGACATTGCTCTCGTTTAGATCGCACGTTTGAATTTATTTATGTTTTTATATTTCTGAACTTATCCTTTCTGCAGATAGAGAAACTGGCGGACATAATTTGGCGTTCAATTCTTTTAGATTCGCGGAATAATTCGACCATTGAGGAATTTCAATTGGTGGCATCGATAGTTTACATATATATCTTTGAATTGCATTTAGGGCAAAAGTTAAACTAAATGTTCAATGCCGTCGATACCGTGTTTATCGCTCGCGGGGTACCTCATTTCATTCTCATTATTTTACCAGCTGAAATGACAACAGCTCCGATAAGGCAATACGAGAAGGAGGCATTACGCGACTATAGTCTCCATAGATCAACACCTCGGGAAATTCGTTCGTATTAACATCTTGCACGTGAGTTGGCTGAGGGTTGCAATATTTTCTCCAGGTAGCAGCAGTGAGAACGAAATAATTCGAAATAAAATTATATACGCAATAATGTAACGTTTTCATAGGAGACAAGCTAACCTTTCTTTCTGTTTCCATTTAGTCGTAGAGTTCAAATTTTCAAGTTTCCAGCCCTGCATACGGAGTTGTCCGGCGACTGATAGTTAACGATCGGCCCGAATTACGTTTGTTCGGCTCCTTCCCAGGCCTGACCCGCTCAACCAGCAAACTCAACTTGTCGAGGTTAAATAACGCTTATCTTCACCTCACCTCACCTCGCTCGCATTCCACTCCGTTCTTCTCCATATCCTCCACAGCTTCGTGAATTTCTCCTTTATCCCTCAGCAGTGCCTGCCACATGTCGACGATCATCGCGATTAAAAAAGCCGCTTGGATAAGATAGGGCAGATACAAGCCCAAGATCTCTAAGGTGTTCTTGTTATAGAGCGTCAGGAGCCAAGCCATCCCTCCTCCACATACTGCCAGCAGGATGTGGTCTCGGTATTGGACGTTTTGGTACGCGTGGTGTAGTATTGAGGATGTGAAGGCAAATATAACCCACGATATGGTGAAAACTGTCGGAGAGGGCTGCTCGATGCATCGAAGGACCTGGATATTCAAGAATACATCCTGTGATGTGTTTCAACAGGAGATTGATGATGGGTTGTTTTGGAATCTTTGACAGGTGTGCTCACTTTTATTCCAACCACCAACTCAAGCAGTCCCTGTGACACCTCCACTTTTTCTTTTCCATGATCTGGGTCATAGTTCGATATGACCACAGCAGTGATGATGCCTACTACGGTCGTCATAGATGGACCAAGGGTTTGTGCAATGAAGTTTTTGGCGCTTCCCACAGCCCGATTGCACTTGCAGTATTTCCATGTTCTGAAGCTCATCTCCCAGCTTGTATCAAATCGAAGGATTTAATTTTGTGCAGAATCGGCGATTTGACTCGATCGTTGGACATTTGAAGAATTACAGTATCGATAGACGTCGAGATGTTGGCTTGTTTAAAGGCTGCGATGTCTCTATGAACTATCGACTTGAAGTGTGTTCTCTTTGGCCCAGTATAAAAATCCCAATTCCCCACATTTGGATTGAAAAGTCTGCTCGATCAATCCTCATGCCAAACAAGGCTGGATGAATTCAGCCTCGAGCAGCCAGAACGACAAGGCTGCGAACTTTATTTCAACGAATCAAGACGTTGCCTACAATTTCGGAATGGAGATGCAAAGAGGCAAAGGGGGCGTTCATTTGAATTTCCCCTCGGTGATATAATATCCAGCCGTATAATCTTTCGACGTTGGTTATCTCTATCATCGAACCTCACTGTGACTACCACCCACGCATCCCATGTGTCCTTCCTCTTCCCTCCCTCTCCCAAAGTCCATGACCGTTCAAATAGAAATAGGTCCTCTCACTCGTCTCAAGTATTGAAAATTCTTATTTACGATTTCTATACCAATTCTCTCGAATTCATTTACCCGCTCTATCGCACTGCCGAGAACTCCTCGAGAGGGTCTCCACTAGGGTTTTTTATGTGAGATCAACCACGCTGGAAGCCAACAGGCTGAGGCACTCGGGTTCCTACATGTCTTTTTACCACCCAAATACCCACAACCACAAGCCATCATTTAACCCAATTCATCCCAAGCCGTCCCCTTTTCATATGTACCGCCAACCTGAAACTCAACCTATCTCAGAAAAACAATTGATAAACGAATTACGACGAATCTACGCAGTCTTGGTGATGGTTGAGAAAAATTGTGTCGAAACCGATCAGCACACCAGGTCTATCAGTAAGCTCTCATCGGAACACTGGAAAGTTTTTCTTGCCCTCCACAGGACTCTTCTTCATGAGCATCATGATTTCTTTCTGGCATCACAACAATCTTCGGCAAATCGGGTCCTAAAGAATCTTCCTTTCAAATATGCCATGACAGCGCGAATGTGGAGGCGCGGAATTCATTCATTCCTAGAGCTTTTGAGTCGCCGTCTCCCACTCTCCCCGGATCAGATGTGGTATTCTATTAATCTGGTATATTCCATTACCAGCGTGCTCATGGATGGAACACCCTCTATTGATGACACCTGGATTGAATGTTTTGGTGATTTGGCTAGGTATCGCATGGCGGTTGAGGAGAAATGGATTAAGTGGTTTGGTGATCCAGTTAGGTATCGAATGGCTGTTGAGGAACCATGGATTGAGTGCCTTGGTGATCTGGTCAGGTATAGAATGTCTGTTGAGATTCCTGGAATGGGTCACCGTGAAGACTCCCCAAATGTTGCAGCTGCAGTAGCTCAAAGGAGGTTCCATAACGTTGCTATCCTTGCTCTCATCAATTTACCCCAGCATCTGTTCTATTTCAAATCTCTAGCCAACATCTACATTCCCCGAAACAGTCTTTACACTTCCTTTATTACTTTCCTCGATCACCTAGGGCCCAACCACCGACAGACTCACATTCCTATCCTCTCGACCGAAGCTGACTATTACCCGGGTCAACTTGGTGTCAAGTTCGATGAAAATGAGGCGGCTAGGTTGTCTCCTGAACTAATAATCCATGCGTCTGATCTGAGATCTAATCATTTATTCTCCTCCATCGAAAGCTTTGATCTTGGGAATTACGTTGCTCATCTTTTCACTTTTTTGCCACTTTTTCTGCCGTTTTTATTCGATGGAAGATGGTTCAAGGGCCATCAGCATGACTGGGTGGACTCCAGGGGCACCGGAATCGTCTCCAGCAATACCAGCTGGATTATTGATCAAGCGGTCCAACAGTTTTACTCTAGCTTAAAGCTGTCATCCCTCTTAATCATGTTGATATTTTCATCCTGCTGTTCCGCATATCCCGTCAACCAGGCTGAGCATAAGAACACGAAACCCAATCCTAACGGTCTGAGTTCTGACGATGTTATTTTAATTGTGTTCGCCATCCTTTCCGTTCCTATATGCTTCCTTCTAGGGCAGCGGCGAGGACAGGCTCGGGCTTTTGGTACCTCTATGGTAGCCTTGAATATTGCCAACTTAATGACAGGCAGTGACCCTCTTATTTCCCCAGTTGGCCATTGGATGTACGTATGAATTTCCTCCCTATTATGATTTTCAGCACCAATCCTAACGCTCACTATAGGGCCCTTGGGCTATCCTTCACCTTCACGGCTATCTTTGCTGGATTACTGGCAAAGCGATTTCCTCATATTACCCGCAGTTTTGCGTGAGGATACCCCTCCTTCTCTTTCCGTCCTTTGTATTATCAGCGCAAACCTGCTAACATGGCAGTGTAGTCATACAATTGGCTTTTTGACGGTGGTGTGGATTGTGAACTATTTGTTGAACCAGAGCTCTGGCTCCGGTGGCTCTGGTGGAGATCAATCGGATTCTTCATGTCACTTTCTTCTTTTCTCAATAGCTTTCACCCTAATCTGCTGGTGGAAGGTTGCGGATTCGTCAGCTCCACCTCCAATTTTAGAGGAAGGGAACGCTCCAGATTCTATTCCTCTCAGCATGAATAGGCCCAGTCGCAATTAACAGGTGGTTATTACGGATTCGAACAATATTTTGAAAAAGAAGGCAGTCATCCCACCTATGATAAGTCCTTTCAAATACGTATTCACTTGTTGATTTGTTCACTTTTTTTCCTTTCATAATACTTTCCTGTTTCTACGTTCATCTTGTCTTCTTGTTTTCAAAAGAACAAAGTTTTCTAAAAAAAAAAATTCTCCTTCTTCACTTCAACATACCTCTTGTAGTGGAAAGAGTGAGATATTATTATGGCAGTTGGAGTGCCGGTGGTGTGGCCGAGTTGATTAACTCGTGTTTGATTGATTATCATGTACGCGTGATTTGTAGGGAAAATTCTTGTCCTCCTAACGGTGTTGCCACTGGCATTCTACCGACATCAGAGTGACGATGAAGTAAATATACCCTAGACTAGATGCTAAATTAAACAATATGATGCTGTATATTCACCATGCTGTGATTTGCATACCAAATCTCTCCGGTGAAAGAGAAAGGTGAACGTGGGCCGATGCAAAATCCGCCTTAACTCTAGTCCGGATTGTGGATATATTTATGTGCTTTGGTCATTCAAAAATTACATACGACTGTAACTTCCTTTTCATCATCAATAACCGTTAAAACCTTCTTCTCCCTCCATGAGCACGTCAAGTATACTGTACTTACCCCTTAGTTATGCCGGCTTCTATCTCAGGAACTGGGATCTGTTCGAACCAGTCCGAATACTTACAGCCGGCCACCATATTCAAGAGCGAGTTAGGTCTCTGCAAAGTTCCACAACGCAAACGTGGGCCGGCCACCTTTGAAGAATCACGCTTTCTAATATGCGCTGCCAACATGAATGTAGAGAACAGAAGTTTTCACTCATTTCTAGAGCTTTTGGGTCAGCACGATAATTGTCAGATGTTGGATATCATTGAGTGTCTCACAGTCTTAGGGATTGTGTCTTTTGAGGCTCTATATATGTTCAAGTTTCATCATAACTGCACAGTCAAATGTTCAACAACATCGATTACTGAAATAGGGGATCACATAAATAAAATTGGAGTTAAATGCTTTCAGAAGAGAGGAAAGAAGATGAAGGTGAAAGATGCAACAAGAAGTAAAAGATTAAAAAGGAATATAAAAATACCACTACATCATTGAGAAAGATACAGTGGAAGAAAATGTTTTCATCATAGGTGAAGCACATGTTCATTCAAGGAACCCCATCATCTCAGCCAAATATAAAAGGGAGATGCTAAAAACCTTTCAAGTGATTTTCCCCCATTATTAAAATATTAATAGTAATAATGATAATAATAAAAGCACAGGCGATAACGATCAGATATGTGTGTAAGGAGAAACAACTAATACACGGGAAATTATCCTCTTTCAGCATTCTAGAAGCTGGAGAGGGCCTCACTTTCCAGGGGTCAGAAAATGGCCCTCTGCAGAGTCCAAGGATCAACCCAGTAATAGATATCTCAATGTCTGAAGATGTATTCCACATTGTGAGAAATGAGCTTCGAATCTTTAAGACAGGCAAGCAAGTTATGTTGATAGGGCAAAAAGAAATCCACAGTGAGGAAGATATATTTTTCCTGTCTTTGTCCTTCGCGATTTCTGTCTTTTTTTTTTTTTTTTTTTTTTTCGACGTGTTCAGATGATTCAGAAAATTGAACAGAAGAGGGGGGTGAAGAGGTATATTATACAAGGAGTAGGGAACTCATTCATATTTAAGAATATAAAGAGGTTCAGATGTGAGAGGATAAGAAATATGTCTTGTTTATGGAATAGTTTGGTTTGTGGCGGGGGAGGAGAGGGCGGAGATGAGAGCGGGGAATATCAGTCGGAGAGGGAAAATGACTCGAAGAAAGGTTATAAATACCAGAGAGCAGCAACGGAATAGATCACATATAAATAAATAAATAAATAAAGAATATAATGATGTAAGAACAATAATAAAATAGTCAAAAATGGTAATTTTTTTTACGAATAGAATCGTAAGGGTATCAAGCTCAAGAATTCGGAACCGAAAGGTAGGGCGGGATATGGGGGGCAAAAAGGAGGCTACGTATGTGTTATATGGTATCGTGTCGCGACAAAAATAGCAGATTGATTCAAGATCAACGGAAACGAAACAAGGATTCGACCCGACTCTGCCCTATTACTAGAGGGATTGAGGGGGTGTCTTGGTGGCTGAATCAGAGCTATAACCGATAACATCAGACAGGCGGATTTTTTTCGCATGCGGCTCAATACCAGCAGATGTACCACTCTGTAGTAAATCGCTGTTAATCAACGCGCGTTCGAGTTCGCCTATTCTGCGTTTCAGGCTCTCTTCGCGCCGCTGAGCCTCTTCCAGTGATTGGTTGAGGCGCGACTCGGAATCTCGAACGATCATCTCTGATCTCCTTGCGGCGGCGTCACTTTGCTCTAATTCCGCAACTCGGCCACGGAACAGTTCGTTGATCAGCTCTAGTTCGCTGATACGGGTTTTTAGAGAGGTGTTTGCAGCTAGAAGACCTTCGTAGGTCTGCGGGGCCTCTAGGTGGCGATCGTTTGCGGAGGAGGTTGAGCTGGGGGACGGATTGTGCATTTGAAGGGATGGGAGGGCAGTCGCGGACGGGTTGAAGGTGTGGTGTGAGAGGGTGACGCTGCCGAACATGTGTTGAGGTTCGATGTTCAGATGGTGTTGGAAGTTTGGTGTATTGGTGCGGGATAATGGGGAATTGGACCGGTCTGAAGGACCCGGGGAACCCCTTCGCGATTCACGATGATGACCATGAGATCCTAAAGGAGGAGTACCGGCTTCGGATCTTGACGCAGCTAGGCCATTGACATCCACATTTGGCTACCAGAATACAAACTAAGCAACGCCTTCCAGCCTACGGGCAAGGAAATAATTTCGCCGCAACAAAACGGCCTGGACAGGGATGAAGCTGGTTCAACTTACTTTCCGCTTTGGCCCCTGCCCGGAGGCTTTGACGCGATTCCGACTTTTGATAACATCTGTTTTCAAGCTTATCGGGCGAGGACGGCCATGGAGTTTGAGGAAGAGCCCACAGGCATTGCACAGCACCGATCCCGCTTCATCTCTCCTCCAGAGAGGCGTAGTGGAGGTGCCGCAATTTTGGCACACTGGCTGGATTGGCGCACGTTTCTGGTCAGTCATAGTGGTCACCATAGCGGAAGTGGCACACGCATTAGGGACAGTACTATGTAGGAGGAGGAATAGGGGCGAGGACAGAGAGGCGGCTGGCATTGGCAAAGGGAGATGGCTGTTGATAAGATTCGGCGAGATTTGATTCAAGCGATAAGATCGAGGGAAAAAAAAAAAAAATGGGTCGATGCCAAGGCCCACGATAGACTAAGCCTAAACGGGCGGGAGACCCTGGGAGATGATAACGACCCGCAAGATATATGTGGAGTATGTGGAGGTACAACTGGAATGGGGCAATTGGAGGGGCAATTGGAGGGGCAATTGGAGGGGCCGAATGGAAAAAGAGCCAGAGACTGCACTTACTGGAGTGTTCCCTTGGCCCCCAGTGGTGACTCCTGGCGAAGAGTTCACGTAACTCATGGTCTGGCTTGCATTCTGGTTGCTGCAGCGGCTGTAACGGAAGAGCCCACACCAACACGTTAGCCCCTGCATGTATATCTGATTCTCATGTATCTGTAACTGTCATATAGTTTGGAAGAAGCAGCGTCTTTAATTGGTGTGGAGGGAGGACTTGGGTCGTTGAATGGCGGCTACCCGATCCTTTACCAGCACCCAATGGCATGAAGAGGACACCAAGCATCCGCTGCCACTGTATCATGCGCATCCTCACACGTATCAAAGGCAAAACATACCGTAAATGCGATGTCGGGACCGATGCGACTGATGCCAGTGCAGAGAGGCGAGGAAGAGAGGGTGAGAAATTAAGTGCCTTGTTGTCTCCACTGCTGATTGGATGCTGAGAAGGCAAATATGTGTTCGACGACTGCGTTGATGTCGACGAAGGCCGGGATAAATCACAGACAGGCGGCGGCAGGGAGGAGGGTGAGGAAGAGGTTTCTGTCTGCAATGCAGTCGTAAAATTCGGCAGGCCTCGAGTTTGTAGTGGTGAGGTTTGATGCAGTGCCGGGTCGATTATGGGCGATGCCCCAAACGTGACGGGAGCCACTGCGGAAGCCGTGATTAGAACTGGTGAAGAGGCAATTAAGGCCTCTTAAGAGAGGGAAACGAGTGACGGGGGATGAAAAACTCAATGGAGACGGAAGTTGGAATCTAAATGTTTAAACAAACGCTGCGAGAGCATGGAAGATGAGCAATTAATCAATCATTGTTGATGATGATAAGGAGAGGAAAAGAGGATTTTGGTACATTTATATTTTCTTTATTATTTTTCGTATTCCATAAATTAAATTAAATTATTATTATTATTATTATTATTATTTCTTTTTGGTTGTTTTATTTTTATTTTTATTTTTATTTTTATTATTATTATTTTGCCCTATGAACGCCAGATCCTGACACCACCGCAGCAGCCCTTTATTTCCACCCCGCGCTATGGCCCACGGCAGGTTTGTTATACGAATGAGTAAACCAGCGTAAAAAACTTAATCAAAACAAGAGAACCAATCCACTAGTTTTATTTCAGATTGATAAATAATCGTAATATGCCCAAAATACGGAGTGCCTAGCGAATATAAAAACTCATAATCCTATTTTGCCCATCTATCCAAGTGATAAAATATAGAATAAAAAAACTAGAATTCTGAACTTGACGTAATTTTGTCCGATATATTAAAAACTTAGACAGGGCAAGGTTATAACAGAACTATATAATAATATATTATATCTCTTCCGCCAGAAAGCAGGCGGGAACTAAAGAAGTAGACAGATCAAGAAAAGGATTTCAGCGACCAGGACAGTCCAACAGGACAATATTTCAACCTTCCACGCCTAACATGCCATCTAACTTAGTTAACCCGCTCACCAATCATGCTTAAAGTCAGCCGGGCAATACTTCTTCCAGGCGTTATCATTATCTACGTCAGCAGCTGCAATCTCCTCGACCTGATCCTCAATGTCGTCGGGCAGCTTGTCCATTGCGCCGCTATCCTGCTCCATAAATAGTGCGTATTCCTTCAATTTCTCGCGCGTATATTTGATGGCCTCCTTGTAGAGGTCCACAATGAACTCCTTGTGAGCGGCCTTGAATGAGAAATTTGCGCGCTTGGCATCGTCGTGATTGTCCATTGCCTCCCTAAAAGAAATAGTTAAAACAGTCCAGGTATGGCGAGTCTGGAGATAGCTTAGCTAGTCACTAGAGGAAAAATATACGCACAAGACGGCTTCAACACCCTTGATTGTTGCAACGAGGCCATTGCGGATAACGGGCTCGTTCATATATTTGCAAGTTGCGACAATGCGGGCAAGGCCACAGCTCCGTCGGTGGTGGGTAATGGTATCGCCTTGATGGGCACCCTTCTTGAACCAAGTAATCAGATTCTTTGGCTTCTTGCGGTCGGCAAACATCTGGTAAATAGTTAGCATGGATGTACTGAAAGATACTGCACACAGAAGAAGCCAAACTCACGGCAAACTTGAGGTTATTCTGTTTCATTGGAAGAACGGCCATTCTCTCTTCCTCTGTGTAGATGGTGCCCATTTGCTGCATCAACGCCATGATATATGTCTCAGGAGTGCTGGCTTGGGGAGGATGTGGCACATTGACTGGTTTGACTTTGAAGAACGAGTTAATCATGGCCGCATCGCACTTACCACCAGCGTTGCCATTGTTGAACTTCTTCTGGAGGAAATCGAGATATCCTCGGATCCAGTTGGCTTCGTAGATATGCTCCGCTTTATCGTTGTTAGTTCCCTATATCCAACAAGATGGTTAAAAAACGTTAGGGAATGGTTAACTAACTGGCCCATTTTCTCTTGGTGTAGTCCCCGTCTGCGTTGTCAGTTTGCACAATAGCACGTTCGTCCGCAGTATCGTCACCCTGCAAGATTGCGATGCTAGTGTCTGGCTCGCAGTCTTCCGAATTGTCGGGGCAAGGGACTTCAGGTACTATGATTGGAATCTTGACATTGTCCTTCAGTTCCGTGGGGCCATGGTATTGCAGGACTGGAATAGTATTGGCCTTTGAGGAGTCACAAAGGGCATAATATTTACGATCGCCGGGCGCTTGTCGCGAGGCCAAATCAAACCTGGTATTTCTGATGGCAATCGCCCTGCCCCTCCTCTTCAGTTCACCTTCTTCATCATCTTCAGTTTTGTCGTAGTCCTCATCTGCCTCTTCCGCATAGCAGTACCCAGGAGACAGCTTGTCAACGGATAAGCAGATGCGTGGGAAAGTATAAAGGTCGTCCTTTTTGAAGAGGGTGACATCGAAAAGTTTTTCCTTGTCACCATCAAGCTCTTTCCATCCTTCAAGTCCAAGGTCAACACCGACCTTGGCTTCGATTGAGACTCCAAAAATGCTTCCACCCGCCTTGCAGAAACCGTTGGTATCTGGCATTATATTCGTTAGATATGACCCCGCAAAACTCACATAAAGGGAAACATACCTAGACCGGCTCCCAGGGTTACAGTTACCTGGGGCACCTTGAAGGCAAGGTCAACACCGAAGCCATTGTCATCTGCAGGATAATGTCATCAGCGAATTTCCGGCGAGAACACAGGAGAAGGAAACATACCAAGAACCGTCAAGCTCACAGACAAGGTAATTTCCGTGTATAATCGTGCCTGGGCATCGATCTGTGCCTGGATTTCCAACGGTTGGGTTTCAATGGTTGGAGTCCACCCAGAAATCTGAACCTTATCTTCGGCTAGAAGATCCACCTTTGCAATAGAGGAATCTGGGATCCTGGCGACAATACCTGCAGAGGCCGAGGCCTGGCCACCAATATAATCAATACCGTAACCAGCATTTAACTGAATCCGTGGGCCAAATTCAAAGATGCCAGGTATATTCCATCCTGACACCGGAATCTCTAGCAGGGTGATCTCCGCCTCTGGGGCTTTGCCTGTCAGTCCTCTCCAATCAACATGGCCAACAAAGTCGAGACCAAGATTGACACCAGCTTGAAGTCTCTCGGGTCTCACAGATATCTCAAACTTGTCGATATCAACTCCACCCAAGCCGAGACTTGCTTCAACGTGGCCAGCAAAAATCAGAGTTCCTTGTACTCCGCAGTCATTGCAGTTGGCAGTAAGCGTGGCATTGAGAACTCCCTTGTTCCTCTTCCATTCGAAGATCTTCGTGGGCAATGTGGCATCGACATTAAGGCGGAATTTCTTATCGAGATCGGGTATGATATCACGTTTGCCTTTTCCTCCAAGAATAACTTCACCAAAATCCAAGACCCAGGTATTCATAACCTTTTTCCAGGTGCTCTTGACTGCAACGAGTTTGACCGACAGGGTTTTGTCGTCAAATGTAACCCTGCTGACCACCAAGGGATCATACGATTTGTCTTTGCCGCAACCCCTCCAGTCGGGGACTAATACGAAAGATCGCAGGTCATTGAAATTGACCCAGTTCCAAACAATTTTGGCAGCAGCATAGACCAGCGGATTTTTGAATTTCAGCGACGCTTGTTCCGGTTTGCAGTTGGCTGACTGGAGAGCAAAAGAGAACTTATCCATATCAAGAATACGTTCATTCTGTTTGGACCAGGCCACCATGCTGATAACTATGGCTTTCGAGTTGGGTTCTTCGTAAAGCAATTAGTCCACGATTTGGATTTGAAAAAGGAGCCGAATAGTTTACTATCAGTTGAAGCCCAGACAAACTTTTCGCTCTCGGACAGGTTAACCAAACTCTTTGGGTCATCGTCTCTTTTAGCTAAATGTTCTGGTTCCCAGACCTCACGCGGAACACGGATCAATTCGTTGGAATCGGGTATAGCCGCAGCTAGCTGTAGCAATAACCACAAAGCGGCAATGATGCGCGCGAGCTGAGCCATGGTAACGGAACTCGAAGCTCGGGGGGGGGGGGGCGGGGCGGGGTCGATAAGACGCGATGATATTTTCAAAGGAAGGACAATGGGCGTCAGTAGCGCCGTGAGGAACGGTGTCCATTTAAGATGGCAGTCAAGTTCTCTTTTATATCTCTCGATATCTGGGTAGAAGAACGCCTTGCAGCTTCATCCCTATACTCTTGCAGGGGCGTTCTACAACCCCCAGGAGAGATGCTGCTGTGGCATCCGGGTCGTCCGGCTTGACCTCCCAGGAGGTAACTACCTGAGTTCGTATCAGGCCGTGTGAGAATGGTGAGCTCCATCTTGAGAACATCCGGTGACCTTTCTCTCTGAAATTGCATTCGACACTTGACAAAGATGTGAAGGAAAATACGAAGTTGCATCAGCCTCGGTATCCAGTGTCATTCCAAGAGGTGACTATAGGGTCCTGCATTGCGCTTGAAAGTGGACAAAGATGCAAGAGTACGAAGTTGCATCAGCTCCGCTGTACTTGTCATGAGTCTGAAGGACTCTAGCGCCATTGCTTCGCGGGGGAGGGGAAAGTCGCTCTAGAACCCAGCAGAAGGGATGGTGTTCACGAAGAGGATACCAGCACCAAGCGCACAGGTCCATTTCACTCAAAGGGGTTTGAGACAAGGTGCAGATGGAATGACTCGATGATTTCCCATCAAGGATATCCCAGGATAGGTGAACATGCATGCAAGGAGAAGTCAGTGAGGCTATCATAGTCCCTGACCGCATATATTCTAGAAAAAGATGAATAATGATAAATATAATATAACTTGAAATGGTTGAGATACAGACAAATTTTCAGTGTGAAGATTGATAATCGGATTCTTGGCATCTGGCTGCTCTCTTCAGTGCACATACCAAACGTTGTGGTGCGAGCCCCCTGCCAAAGGGCCCTGGTCCCGTATTCTCCAGCTTCACAGCAACGGTGTGAAGTGACACATGCAAGCTCAAGAATCTCGACTCCGGCGAATCATGCGGCGTCACCTGGGATGAAGCAAGTCCAGCCCGAGAGAGTCTCGGAGTACAGCTCCTGCCAAGCACGGCAGGATTGACATATATATGGAATCCCGGTAAGCGATGGCAAATCTGCTTGAACGCCTTCATCACCAATTCTGGCGTATGAAACCAGGGGTTTAGGCGAAGACTGCCGGTTCCTGGTGAAGAGAGGAAGAAAAGAGTAAAGAAAACCCATCAACTTATTTTAAGCACCAAATTTCCTCTCCCTTCATTCGTTGAGCATACCTCCTGTCACCGCTACTACTCCACACCAGCAGATTCCGATGTTTGTCAGTTGTCAGTTGCACGCCTCGGGCAACAAGGACACAAATGGGGCTCTTGAGGCCCGTCGAACTGGGTTCCCTGGTCAAGGCTCTGTTTCAAGCTATTTCGGCCTCTACTTCAGTGGGTCAAAGTTTCTGTACGAAGAGGAGCTGGAGACATGACCCAGGATGTCTGAATGCATGCATGGCATGAACTTGGGGACCGCGCAGACACGGGCCACCCTGGTCCCAGTAAGACTGAGCTGTGAATTCGAGTGGAATTTCCACCCTCATCTTGGCTGAATCCCCCTTTGCCTATTCACCATGGATTCAACAGCAATGGTAAAATTGGCAACCCGTTACGAGCCGCGGATAGTCAAAGAAACAGATCCCCCAGGCCAGGTGGTGGCAAGTCAAGATGCTAACAGTGCGTGCAAAAAGTCAGGCCTGAGTTCAAATGGAGGTACGCTGTATATTTACCTTGTTATATTTCGGCAACCACTGGTCGGCTAACTAACTACCGGCGTACATGAACAGAGCGACTTTGAGTCCTTGATAATTTCCTGAGTTTGAGAGTACGACCCGGCCGGACATGGGGTGTGGGACTGCCGGCATTAAGTAAATTAGCTAAAGGGGAGACGAAAATGGGGGAATCCACAGTTTGGAGCAACTTTCAAATGGAATTTGGCACTTCCAAACCTCCAATTAGGCACGAAATTTTCCGTACAATTTTGGCGGAATACTAGCAAGCTAAAGGCACGTTGAAAACTCTTTTCAGCAGTTCATTATCAAAAGTGTGGGATCCCCAACACCCTGGCAACCGGAGACATGAGGGGATGTGCAGGTAATTTTGTTATGCGAAGTAGGATCGTCTCTGCTTGGCTCCGGCAAGCTGGGGATTTGTCTTAACCGAATCTGGGCAATGAGCCCTAGCGCGCTGGCTTGGGGAGATCCTCCACGTTGAGGAGATGAATGATCGAATAATAAATGAGGGCGACCGCAAAAAGGCACCTAGTTACGGAGTATATGTTCTTGTAGAAAAGACATCCCTGTCGGAAATTGCCGTCTTACTGCATACATTGTGTTTATAGAGATTGGTGAAGGTAAAGCTTGATGTATGGTGACTAGTTAGTTAACTTAACCAGTTCCAAGACCTGAAGGAAGTTCATCGAAGAAAATGTCCGGAAGAATCATAATGCAATGCACCCTAGCTACATCAAGTTGTCTTCTGCCTTCCATCAATCAAATATCCGGCTCGGCTTCTCATACTTTCCTGGTGACCTGCTGTTATGCGGCAACTTTTAACAGACCCCCGGTCTGGAACTGAATGACATCCCATGCTCCATGACTTACAAAGAATTGTAGATGTCGAGCGGAGTAGGAGGGAGTACATATATATGCTGCAGCATCTTTTGCTGTGAGTACTTACTTTACCCTCTCGTGGAATGCGGTGGGTGGTGAAGTGAAATTGATGAGGTTTTTCTCGAATTTCCCATCCAATCGCTTCTCTGATATGGAAGTCAAAAAGAAAAAGGCCGCTCAAGAACAGTCTGAGCATGATATAAATATGTAGAAAACTGCCCTCCGGATCCTTCATGCCCACTTCCCCGCCCTTCCCGTCCACCTTATCCCCTCTTTTCACGTCTACTCAGTCAAGGTATGGTGTAACTGTCATTGAAGATGGAAAGGCGGACGCACAGAGCATGCTCTTCGCTGCTAGTTAAGAGATTGTTGGGTGGGGAAGCCCTTTTTAAGATGGTTTCGACATTATTTATTTTGGTATGTAAATTATCCAGATGCCAGGATGCCCTATCCAACTGCGTGTCTGCGACTGTTGCTTAGACATGTTGTTCTCATGCAAGGGACCCAAAGGAGACAGTTGAGGGTTCAAATAGTCATCGTGTCAACCACACTTCATCATGCTGCCCTCCCACATACTCGTACAAGCAGTGCATGCATCCCTTAGACACATTATATCGATTATATTTTAGAACGAGTGATTCTATTAAAACCTCTCTAGCTTTAATATCTAAATAACTTCAATCCCTAGCTATGTCTGTGGGCTTACAAGCCCATTTGACTGTGAGATTTTGAGCTATGTGTATGATGTACGTGGGATACATGTTGTTTGAAATGTCCGCCTAGTTTGCAGTGCCTGTTTTGCGAAACTGTTGGTTCGTCTTCAAGTTGCCACAGGAGGTGTGCCGACTTGGACTGGAACGGCTTGCACCGCTTCCCTGATGACAACAAACCTGCTTATTGCGTTTAACGGAAATCTCGACGTTCATTCTAAGGTTGCCAACCTGCCCTGTAGCCTAGCTCCTGGTTCTATCAAACCAACAAGGAGAGCACATTTAAGGCCGCAGTCACTCTGGTCCTGCGCCCTGCCAGTGTCGGATACATTCTAGGCAGTTCCCCAGAGTTGATCATCACCATAGCATTAATTTTGTTCGTATTAACAACACCATCACAAACATGGAAACAATAAGGTCACACTTTATGACTCGGACCCTTGTTGCTCCTCCCAGCCGTCATGTTCGGTCTGGCAGCACGACATGTTCTCCAGAAGCTCACCCACCACCTTCTGATAACCCAGAAGTACAAAGAATAATAGTGGCAGGCAAATAGAGTGATTGGAACACACAAGACAAAAAACCACCAAAACCTCACTACGTTCACACCGCGTTCTGCCCGAGGAGATCAATGTTCATAGAGTGGAGCTAAAGGGAAGAGAAATGAACAGCGTCGCAAGCAGTGTCGGGTTCTTGAGTCGCTTAGGCAGCTTAACAGCTTTGTTCATTGCGTAGAGCTATTTTCCCCAAGTGCTAATTTCGAACAAGTCCGATGCAACGACCGTGGAGTTATTCGTAGTCTTCCAAGAGACCATTTGCGGTAAAATTAACATTGGAACTCTTCCATCTAATGCTTCTCACTGGATCTGCCTCTAAGGTCCGCCGGTGGATGCTCATGCCGAAATCTGGTCACACAGCAACCATCGGCGCTCGGTTTTCTGCCTTGGTTCCATTCAATCCTTGACCACCGCTCGGCCCAGATTGCAGAGTCCACGAACACTACCTCTCAGACGCCGCACGTATCGGCTGAAATTGTTGGAGACGTATTGCACAGTTCTCAATATATCAGCTAAAACTTCTAGTTTTCGTATTTACCTGAGCTTGGATTCTGATCCCTCATAAAACTCAGAAACTGAACTTCGGAGAACGCCCCATGGTCAAACAATGACATGCAACTGGAGAGAGGATCTTGAGCCGCGCGAGGGGCCGTGCAACAGGTTAGATTGACAACAGCAATCAATGAATCATATGCAAGGGAAGATAGGAGTGTTTTGCGGAACTTCTGCTACAGAATTCATATTTGAATCTAGATATTTTGTTGTGGTTCAAAATGTTATCTTGCAGAGATTTTGGAGAAAGGGTTACCGTGTAGCCGGAGAAATTCCCAAGGGTCTTCCCATGGCCCTGCAGCCAATGACTGAAATGCGTATCTCAACAAATATTGTTCTCGTGATATATAGCACTGTCTCTCTCTGCCAGTCCAGCCTCTATCTGTTTTCGTGATATAGGCGGATATTGATTGTTCGACCACAGAGAAGCACGAGCATACAGTGAAGTGCTCATGTACCAAGAATTCACCGCAGCAGACTCTTGTTGACTGAAGTTGTCCGATGTTGTATGTTCTGAGCTCTGCAGATTGTTCGGACGCGGATGCAGAGAGGGTACCATTTTGTTTTGGCTTCACCCGATTAAGAAAATAAGATTATGTAGCGTCCATATGTCGATATCATACTTTCCCGGGAGCAGGAGGTCCTCGAATATCTTCTGGATAACGAGGTGGTTGCTCGGGCGTAATTTCGCGCGTAACTGTAAAAATCAACGTTTCAGTTAGGCAATGGATTCCGGACAGATGGTACGAATGCGGCTGCTCTACGGCTGTTAGCAGGGGGGGGTTGGGGGGGGTTGATTCAAGGTTTGATGCCGAGATCGCCTTGAAGAACTCAGCATTTCAATTGAATAGAAGTGATTGTCAATCCTGAGATTGCACAGCTGCTTTTTCTGAAAGATAAATCTCAAGTTCACAAACATGAAAATTTTCAGACCATTATGAAATTTACCTGTTCCTTTTGTTCTCTGTCCTGCTCCATACTGTTCTTGCTGGTGTCCTTATTCCACTGTCATCGTGGATATCATAAATCCGAAAAGTGTCTGAGTTGAGGCTCAGACTGTGGAATCTGTCGTTTGAGGTAACTTAGGCTTCAATCAGCCAGTCTAGAGCTCATCATTTGTGAAGTTGATTTGACCATTGTCCCCAGCAGAGTTGTTCATATCATGAGAACATGATAGCGTTTTGAACAAAATTCCGTTGCTGAGACCAACAATAACTTGAGGACTGGTTGGCTCTGAATCGCCAAATTGCCACAAGATCACATGACTTTAAGTGAAATTACCGACCCTGTGTTGACTATTTCCGTTCCCGGGGTTCGTTGTCTCCATGATGGCGTAACATGAATTGGAGTATCGATTCCGTTATATGAATGGTGAATTTAAAGTCATCTTGTGGCAATTTGTCTATTCATTTTAAACACGCCGTCCGTTTCAAACACTGAATGCATGTCAAATTAGTTAACTAGTTAACTAACTACCTATTTCTGTGATAGCAGGGGTTGTTGAATGTTTTGATCTTGGGTCGAATAGCAGACACCATGTCAGACTCCACCACAGTGACGCTATTAGGCAAGTTTGGTGAAGAGGTAGCCTAAAAGGGGTTTCATATCAGAACCTTGGAAAGGAGCTTAGGGATAACCAGGTCTTACGGAGGAGTTACAAATCGGCCCGGCGTTTAAATATCGACCACAATTTATTTTAACGATCACTACCTAAATTTGACGTGTTCAACTGGTATCTTCATTCAATATTTCTTAAACGTTTGCCTCTCCCATTCTTTCATTACTCAATTGAAATCAGGGTCACTCCAGTTACATCATGTTCTTGTGGTGGAGCAGCAGGAAAACACCAATTTTAATGCAGATTGTCTGCAGTTTCTCAAGTATTGCAGTCCCTGCCATCAAATCATAACCAATTTTCACTAAATATATGGTGAGGGCTTCCTGATCACAAATGTATTATTACCATGATAGCAAAACGTACAGCTTGTCAGGACACAAGACAAGGGTCTTCATCAAAAGTTGACAATATACTCTCAAATCAACAACGTGAGGAAATGAAAAAAAAAATTTCAACATATCACTGTTTTCCAAGGCTTCCAGAGTTATAGTTAATTGATTATCATGGGCATAATATAATCTGTGACCTGAGCTACCCCGCATCTCCTTATTCAAACCAAGCTTGAAGGTAGGAGGCCTCGAAGACTCCATCACCATTCCGCTAGCAGCTCTTCATGTGCAGAGCCGCCTTCCCCTCATGCTGGAACATCTCACGATTACTAGGCCACAGGAATGATAGCAACGCTGAGCTCTGCAATCGTCGAGACAGGAGAGACAACAATTTTGATCATGAAAACTCTCCGAGACTGCAAATCTTAACGCAAATGAACCGATGATAATAGACGAGAGGAACAGCGGATGAAAATATGAAACTTATAGGTTTGAATACACAGTCTTGCCTTTTTCCCAGCTTATGAACGAACAGAAACCAGAATTGCCGACCCGTCGAGGGACCAGTATAGGAGGGAAAGAAAGAACGAAAACAGGGGACAAATGACGTCGAGACGCATTTAAGGCTTCAATCCAATTATCCACTAGACCGGATCAAGGATAGCTAGTTAAACGGAGTTTGAGGGATGGATGGATGCAACTGGCGCAGATCGAATAAACAACCCCTTCTACTCTACCCATGACTCCACTTGAGATAGAGATCGGAGCACTCAAACAGAAACAGCCATGAAAGTTCGAAGCTAAGAGGGACTGCAACCAACTTCTCTGCAATTCGCTTCTCATTTTCAACATGGACGGGTTTCTCACCAACTCCGAAGACATAATAACTCTATCCACGAACCAGCTTCTTGAAAAGTATGGAAGACCAGCAAACACCCCGTTTATTTGAGCCCAACTCATGGGCATCTCAGACACGACGAACGGTGACGTGTTCCACAACCGGGGCGAAATTGCCAATATCCCACGAGCCATTCGCTCGTGAATCGGCTGAAAAACATGCGACTGCATTTTCTGATTGCAAGCCACTTCCCGGGGTGGAAAAGCTTCTCTTGAACCTCAGCCGTGCACGGAGCGCGTCCATTGGGAACAGATTAAGCTGGCTTTGGCATCCAGCACAAAGAGCCATAGATACGAATTGAAAACCTCAAGGCCAAAAATGAAACGATTGCTCAGCTTCTTCGAACCCGACATGACGGTTCTGGGTGATGATCCGCGAGTGCAACAGGATCAAGGGAAGCTGGCGCCTGATATATATTTAGTCGCCTTGCAATCGTTGAATTCTAAGGAATATTCTAACAAAAGCCAGTTCTTCCCAATGAGTGTTTGATCCTCGAAGATAAGTGTGATCGGGATTGGATGAGGGATTTTTGGGTCCCACATTTGGATGTAGCCGTTGAGTGTAAAACAAAGCAAAAGGATATGCTCACTGGAAGGACAGTGATGATTAAGGTCGCAGACGACAGGCAGCTAGGCCAACTCGATGACGGCTGGGCTGAGAGCATACCATATTTGGAACATTTCGATTACAAGAGGTACGCTATCGATGTGCCGTCTTAAGTTTCTTTATAGGACAGTTCCAATTTTCAAAAGTGTGCTAAACATTTACAAGAGAAAGAAAGGAATAATCATTGTCCTTTCAGCCGCAATGATCGTGGAACCTGGATTTGGACCGACCATCCTGTATCGCACATAGCTCATAAGTAGCAAACTGGCACTGAGGATCAGTTAGCGCGGTTCTGTGCATTTTCCTCGTCACCAAGTAAAGAAAAATTCGAAGCATTCGAAATCCTCTGCTGATGTCTGTCATTGAAAGTTGCTCCTCGAACACCGTGTCTAATCTTTCACCATGCAACCAATCAGCGCTGGCGTTGGAATTCCGCGAGGGATCATTGCGCGTCATTGCTCTTATCTGGTCCATAGAGGAGCAAAAAGGCATACACCATGCCATATATCTCATGTTTCAAAGTCCTGATTGTGTCTCCCAGAACTGGCCTCTAAAGCGTATTTAGGAGTAGTATGTCATAAGCCGCAAACCACGGTGCGGAGTACGAATTCTAGAAGAATAGTTTCTCCCTGACATCCTATCATCAATTGATATATTTCCGTACATATTTGCCGTCAGTTCTCTCTTGATAGTGGTGAATCTTGCTGCCTTCAACTGCCTATATGCCCCTAAAGAGCAACGTCACATGACTTCTTTACCCTGAGTACGATGACATAAGCAACTCAGATCACATGTTCTGCATTCAGCCAACATTCCAAGCTCTGTTTGTTTAAAATTAGCCATCCATTGTTGAATTATCTTTACTCCACATTTCAGCTACTAAAATACTTGACAAGCCAACGCCCATCGCCAACAACATCCTTCACCTCTCTTCTCCTTCTCTTTACAATTAGCTATGGCAACAATGGACTGATTTGTTGAACGAACCCTTTTCTGGGCTATCGTATAGTATGTCCTTTGGCCATCAGCCGCCATCAATGAAGCTTTGGTCTCTTTGGAACTTATCGAATTACCGCCCACCCCTCCACCATGTCGCATAAGAAACATCGTCCTGCCACTTCAGGCTATGAGCGCCTTGCTCAAGCTGATGAAGAAAGATCCCATGTATTTTATGACTATTCTGATGAGGAGGACCCCTTCAGCGCACCTCCACCTTTGTCGTCAGCTTCAGGCCCCCGATATACCCCTATTCACTCACATCCCCCAATGCATGCTTCACGACAGTCTTCACCGGTGGGCTACCGGCGTCGTTCAAGCAGGCCTCGAAGGCATGTGCGTAGCAATTCAGGAGTGGATATAAAGGCCATCAACATGCGACTTGAGAAGTGGGCGGAGGAAATTGCCTCCAAATTTAAGATTAACAAGGTCAGGGGGAAGACTGCGGCAGAGGAAAAACTAGAGATACACCATTCAGTTTTCCAACCTCCCGATGGAATTCGTCCAGTCACCTCGGAATTCCTCGAAAACCACCCTCTAGAGGAGGGCCGGATGACTAAGGAGGAGTTTGACGCCGTTGTGGAGAGCGTTAGAACTGCAATCGAGCTGGGTATACAACCGAAAATGATATCACAAGGTAGCTCTGGTAGTTACTTTGCGAGAAACAGCCAAGGGAAGGTGGTGGGTGTCTTCAAGCCGAAAGATGAGGAACCCTATGCCTCACGAAACCCCAAGTGGACCAAATGGATACACAGGAACTTGTTTCCCTGCTTTTTTGGCCGTGCTTGTTTAATTCCGAATTTATCGTATGTTTCCGAAGCTGCCGCTTACGTCCTGGACACCCGCCTAAGGACCAATCTTGTTCCATACACTGACATAGTCTACCTGTCCTCCAAATCCTTTTACTACGACTTCTGGGACCGCCGCAGGGCATGGGGCAACAAGAAAAAATTGCCAGCGAAAGTAGGTAGCTTTCAAGTTTTCTTAAAGGGCTATAAGGACGCCAATATATTTCTACGTGAACACCCCTGGCCAGATCAACATTCCTCCGGTTTCTCTGCAGGTGATGCCCCGCGGAAGAAAAAGCGTCCCTGGAACAAGGCATGCCGACCGTCCGGTGCCCACTCCGATGGCGAAGACGAATACGACGACGGGAATTACGTTCCGTCTCCCCTAGAAGAACCGCCCCATCCTCGTTTCCATTGGACCGAAAACCTCAAGCAATCCTTCCGGGAGGAGCTTGAAAAACTAGTTATTTTAGATTACATCATGCGGAATACAGATCGCGGACTGGACAATTGGATGATAAAAGTCGACTGGCAGACCGAGGACGTTTCTATCGTCGCTGAACCACCAAAAGCAAATGGCACCACAAACAGTACCGACGATGACGAACAGACTCCACCGCAGCTTATTTCTACAAGCTCAGAGCGTCTCGGTTCGGATTTCTACCCATATAGGCGCCAGGAAACTATGGTTGCTGTTAGCCGTTCAGGAACACCTTCCAATGCACCAGAGCACCCTCACGCCACCATATCTATCGGAGCCATTGATAACAGCTTATCGTGGCCGTGGAAGCATCCTGATGCTGTAAGTTCAATTTATCTCTCGTTGTTGTGAATATGATGAAAGATGAATGCCTAACAATCCTGCTCAGTGGCGAAGTTTCCCTTTTGGATGGCTCTTCCTCCCTGTTTCCCTTATCGGCCAACCATTCTCAAAGAAAACACGCGATCATTTCTTACCTCTCCTTACCTCCACCGCTTGGTGGAGCGGCACACAAACCGCTCTACGGCGGGTATTCAGCCAAGATTCCGACTTCAAGGAAAGCATGTTTGCGCGACAAATAGCGGTAATGAAAGGTCAAGCTTGGAATGTGGTTGAAACACTCAAACAACCAGACCATGGGCCCCTCGAGCTCACCCGCAGAACGAGAGTGTGCGTTTGGGATGATCTAGTTGATATCCCTGTCGCCATTCCACTCCACGTCCCTTCCGCTGAAATGCAGAGACGACAAGAGCTAGTTCGCGAGCAGGAGGAAATGGATATCAGCGTCGCGATATCGTCTGACAGCAGTAACCACCGCGATCTCCTAAATCTCAGCTCACCGACAAATGAACTGCCAAACCCCAATAGATTTGAATTGTCACGCGATAGAGTCTCTGTCGAATCCAGTAGCAGAGTAGAGGGTGCTGGCAGCCCAACTTCACTTGGTGATTTTGCCTTTAGGAGCTTCGACGGTACCGGTGAAGACGACAGGGATCTCGCAGCCAGCTGGGCTTCCGTTCCCGCCCGTTCGACGGGTGGTCGATCAGGGCCCAAATTATTCGTTGAGGCTAAACGGGTCCATAGGAAGAACCTGTCCGTGCCTCAGCGGCGGGGTAGCAATGCGATTATGTTCGGCGGCGATGATCTTGAAGGTGACCTTGGCTATGCGGCTGCAGAGGAGATGGAAGGCAACGAGCGCAAGGTCATCGTCGAGAGACTCGAAGCTGTTAAGAGCAAAAATCCTGTTTTTACATGGTGTTGAACATATAAACTAACCAATCACCCAGCCATTTTTTCTCTTTCTTGCTGGGACGGATCCTTGTTTTGTTTTCATTTTCACATCTTTGCTGGGCAAATTTTCTTACTTTTGGCTCTCCCGCAACTTTTCCTCTGTTCTCTCCATGACTGGTTTTTATTACATGTTTCTCTTAATTCTTTCCTCTTCTATCTTCACAGTTCCCTTCGCATGTTGATCAGCCAGATCATGGATAAATAGTTGGTCCATGGCATGAGCGTATGGAGTTATATTCGCGCAATTGCCATATTCGCGTTTAATTTATCGAATTTTTTTTTCTTCCCTATCTCTTTCCAACTATGGATGTTTATCTTTGTCCGGTTGGTTAGAAGTAACATACAGTTCTCTACATCATGGCCTATATTGTTTTTGCATGGATTGAGGATCAAGCTTCCGTTTCTCCTATGTTAATGGTGCTTTCGGGTTCGAATCGCGCAACTTAGATCACTCACGGTTGGGTTGACTTACATGACTTCTTGACTTCTTGACTTCTCGGTACTGTATGACCAGATTCTTATATATATTTCTTATCGGCTATGGCTAGAATAATGTATATGGTAACATGCGACCACCCCATGTTAATACTTTTTCTGATATATACAATTATTTAAGGTGGTTGTCGGAATCTCAAATTCTACGGCAAATTCTCAGAGCATGGATTGTTGACTTCGCTGAATCAGCAGCACGAGGTCACATGCCACTTATATAACATATTATATACTATTAGCGGTTGTCTCCACCCGCTCGATTCTCGCTGCGTCGTTTCATTCTATAGTCAACAGTCAACCTCGCGCCTGATTCCACATTCGCATCCTCCTATACATTTGCCACCAGTGTCTTACTGGGCTGAACAGTATTTGAATGGATAGCCTTACTTCTCCTTTATCACTGCGGAACAGATTGAGCTGTTTCCTAAACATAACTTCGCGAGTGTCCTGGTGCACTTGAGGCTATTAACTACTTCACCCAAACGATTCACGGCTAGCTGCGCTCATCGATTCCTCAGCTGTCTCTGCCCTCGATTCCTTCACAAATCTTACTTAATTTGACCCTTAAATTTCGACCCGCTTTGAGGATACAGGCTAACCCTCGATATGAGACCTCTACACATGCAAGTGTGACGTCTTTTCCATGTTCAGTCGATACATTCATTCGCTTGAGTTGACGTTATTGTCTTAATCAATTTGAGGAGAGCCCTTTATATATCTCGAGGAAAGAGAACGGTTTGATTCATCATGGACACACCAGCGGCAGTTCTTCTGGATCCGAAGGCGTTCAAAAAACAGTCTATAAAGGGTAAGGTTAGGTTCCAGTGAGCTTTCATTTGCTCACTCGAACGTGTTGGTCTTTGTTGCGGCGTCGCAATCATTCATAAATTTGCTTTTCTTCAACTTCGATGTTATCATCCCTTCTTTCCCACTTCTTAAAACCATATTTTCTTATTTATCTCACAACACTAATACTGCTTTTAATAGATTCTGGGCCCAGCTCTCCGCGACCCAAAGGAGCGCCTTCGGGGAACGTCTTCGACCCCAGGACGCTGTTGAGCCCTCG